TTATGTAAAAAAATTTTTGAAGACATATACATAATTTTATATTTAAAATATTTTATTTGTGTAAATTTTTCAAAAAAGAATAGAAGGGTGCCACTTGACTTTCGGAGTTTGAAACAAGCATTGACTATTAGTAAGTTATGGGTAGCTTGATATGACGAAATCCCTTTCACATTGTATAGCATTGTTGGCGTTGAAAAGACTTGATTGAACAAAAAGGAATAATCAATCTCTTACCTTTCTAATGAAAGGGTCACCCCTTTTTAGGGGAAGAGTTTCGGGGATCTTTCGACGCCGTAAACTTGAAGGCATTTTCATTTTCACTCTTTTTTTTAAGTAAATTAACTTGCCTAACTTGTTTCAATGTGCACTTCACTCTCTTTTGAAGAAGTTTATTTTTTCGTCACAGTACAATAACTAAGTGGATTGTTACTATGTATATATTTAATGATTTTTATTTTATTTTATAAGAAATATACATGATTTTTATGATAATTTTATGTTTAATCACATTTTTGTGCTACAAAAGATAATCGTTCTGAATTGCTATTTGAACCACTGTTAAAAGGGGGTGTTATATTCCAGATTGTCTAACTCTTAACATTTTTCTTTTGAAAAAGCAAGAAGCGTATGTTTAGAAAAGTTGATAAAATTTAACTAAATCAGTAGCAACTAAAACTATTGACACAATGAAAAATCACAAGAATTGGCTTTAGGTATTAAATGGGTAAATATCTAATCAAATAAATCAACCCAAAACAAATAACGTAACATGAAGCATTGAAATACGAAAGATAGATATTTGTTCAAATCAATTTAGTAAAAATGAAGTCTAGACATTAGTTCCTAAACTTAAAAGAAAATCACCATTAGGATTAAACTAGTTTTTAGAAATAAATTAGATGATGATATAAAAAAAAGATAGATTAGTAATATAAGAACACAATAAATAAATAAAAAAGTATAGATTTTATTTTAAATTTTTGCACTAGTAACTAAAGTAGAAACAGTTGGAATTATGTTTGATTTTGCAACATTAAATAAAAATATTTTTAAAATGGATACAAAAAATGTCTTTGTAAATAGTTTTATGAAAAAAATTTGTATAAATAACAATTTTTCATGATATGTATAAATAACATTTTAGTTTTGAATATTTAGCCTTTTCAAATCATGTTTGAAAACCCAGCACTTCTCTCACAACTAAAGATGAATACATGTTTGTTAAAAGATATTGTCCAAAACTCCTATGATTAAAATGTCAAATTAAGGATTATTTTATGAATGATATATCTATTTTTTATGATAATAATGGTGTAATAAATTGACTAAAAATTTTAACCAATTATTTGAAACAAGACATATAGAAAATAAACATAATTTTAATAGACATTATATTTTAAAAGGAGTTTTCAATGTTTAATTATTCAAATTTATATTTATTAAAAATAATCAAAACATTTTATGCGGTACTATAAAAAGTAATATATGTTAAATGCATATTCTTTTTTAGTTATCATTTAATTCTATCATTTGACAGATATATAGACAGATTAAAGATATGAAAGAGAAATTTATTTTCCCAAAATGATTAGTTGGTTGTTCTTTATTTTTGGACTTTTATCCCATTGATAATAATAATAATAAAAAATTGAGACGCGTGTGCTTTGTTTAGTAAAACAACTTCTATTTTTCTCGGAAAACATCTCTTTAGCATTTTTAAATTTTAATAGGTATCTTTCTAATTCTACTTTTGTCAAATAAAATGACAGTTATATTTTCCAAAACTATTGTTAATTTTTATCATAGAAATCTTTTATCATAATTTTAGAAGTTGTTCTTAAGAGTATTAACATTTAACGCCAATGCATTATTTTAAGTGATTGTCATCTTCGAACTCCGACACTCTCCTTTAATCTCTTTCTTCTTACAAATACTAACCTTTAACTTATCTAATTATTTTGAAAAATCAATAAATATGATAGAAATATACTGATTTGTCGAATATATCATTTTAGGAATCCAAACTTAATTTTTGTGATTTGTACTTAGATTTCATATATATATATATATATATATATATATATATATATATAGTATTTTAGATAGAAATAATACACATAATTGACCTAAACTTGGGTTTTTAATTAAAATAACATTCCTATTAACGAACCTTATTCATAAATAATTTAATTTTAAAAATATTTTATACATACCTAATCGAAATTCAAGGTAAACACAGATCCCTAATCTCTAAGATTTGGTTAATTTTCTTGTAGTTTTATGTGTTGCGTGATTTATTTCTTTTGTATTCTTTCATCAACCTCTCACATTCCTATCATTCCTTAAATATAATTAATTAGGTAATTAGTTAGTTAAAATTCTAATAGGAAGTTGATATCTGAAAAAACGATACTCTATATTCTTTATTACTTGTGCAGCTTGTACACTAGTGATATACCAAAAAGATAGCAATTAAGCGAGATCAAATGAAGTAAGGATTGAGAGTTCAAAGCCTCCGACCTCATAGCACTTGTGGAGTAAATAAAAAATATGATAAGTTAATTTATTTTTCTTCTTCATCCTCTTATTTCACCTACACAAAAGAAAAAAAAAACACTCTAGAAGCATTTGCTGAACTTGAACCATTGATAAAGAAAGTCAATCTAGCCTTTCAACATGTTTTGTCCGTGGGAATAATCAATGCTGAATAAGTCAATAAAAAACAAAAATCTATTGTAAAAGCCCCCCCAAAGCAGTCTTTTGAGAGGCTGCTAAGATATAGTTAAGGAAGAACATCATAAGATCATGGCTAGAAAGAAAGAGCTAGCAAAGAATAAAACAGAAAAAATAAAAATAAAAAATTGTTTTTGGGCCCTTTAACTCTCCAGAGATTGACAAAGCACTTAAGGTTTACCACAAAAACAAGAGAATTTGAAGAAAGGCAATGGTAAAAAAACAAAAGACGGAAGAGAAAGAACACGTTGCTGTTAGAATTAAACGTGAAGTTCAGTCTAATATGCTTTTGGAGAAAATAAAGATTTTGGATTGACCTCATGACTCCATGGTTGAAGCTCAATCTAAAGTCATTTTAGTGTACATGAATTGAGATTTAGGTGACACCACTCTGAAATGTGAACAGTGATAGAAAAGAATAGAAGCTTGTAATAACCCCTAGCAAAATTATTGCAACCGTTCAATAGGTCCACATGTTCGAATCAAATCAGTGAAGCACATGTTATGCATGCATCCATCATCATTATTGTTGTAGTTGGAACTGAAAATGCCTCCAAAAACGTGAAAATTACCATGGCTATTTGACTAAAATAATAATTGAGGAAGAGTTTACGGATAACTTATGAAAATGATTTATTTTAATAATTTTTATAATTAAATTTATGGTATGAGATGTCATTTGAAAAAAATTAAATGAACATTTATTCTCATACCAAAAAAGAAATGAGTCAACTTAAGCACGATATATATAGTTCATTCTAAGGTAAGAAAAATCATTACACTCAAATAATGCTTATAAAAAACTTAAATTTATGGTATGAGATGTCATTTAAAAAAATTAAATAAACGTTTATTCTCATATCAAAAAAGAAATGAATCAACTTAAGCATGATATATATAGCTCGTTCTAGTGTAAGAAAAATCATTACACTCAAATTATTCTTATAAGAAACTTAAATTTATCTCAAATAAAAAAGAAGTAGAGGTTTAGATCTACAACGAGTTAGATGCAAGACCTTATTTTATTCTATTGCTTAATTTCGATTGTTTAGCCCTCAAATTTATACTGTGCGTAGTTTTATTTCTTGATTTTTAAAATTTAAATAAGTCTCTTTAGTATTAAAATTCAGCAAATTCAATCCATTCATGAATTTTTCACTTCAAATTTTTAATTAATATTTTTTCATGTAAATATATTTGTGTGTATATGGTGGATTTGAGATATAAAATAATTTTAAAAATTTAGAATAAAACAAGGAAGAAATTTGTTAAAATTTGAAAGATTTTATAAGATATTAAATTAGGGTTTGAGGATGAGATTTGTGAGTGATTAGTATTTTCTTTTTTAGTATAAGATGATTTAATCAATTTAATTTGTAAGAATTTTGAGTATAAAAAAATGTGAATTTAAAGAAAAAAAAGTCGATTAAATTTAGTTAATTCTAAAATTAGATAAATATAGTTAACTAAACGAAAAGAAACTAAAACATACATACTACATAGTTGGAATAAGAGGAATTAAAATTATAATTAAACTTTATCTAGTACATTGAATCTCAAATGCATTTTTTTATTTATTTCTTAAAGTTTTTTTTTCTAACAATTCAAATTTTTATAGTTTAATTTTAAATTAAAAATATTTATATATCACATCATACAAAATTAACTTCTATATACTTAATTCGAGCTTTAAATAAAACGACTTTATATTTTCATTTAATCGAATCTAACAAAGTTTAATGTAAGTGTAGCTAACAAAAACTCATGAAATTTATGAATTCAAATAAAATTCAGACCATTTTAGCTCAATTCTCTAAAGATTGTCATTAAACACGAGTCAACTGGAATGTTCAGGTGACTCATTTTAGCAGCTTTAACTTTTAATTTTTTTTAGATAATTAATATAGTCGCTTAAATAAAAAATAAAATGATGAAAGAAAATGGTAAATCTAAAAAATAATTCTTGAATGAAAAGTAAAAGATGGAATACAGACCGCTTGTTCTGTCTGTCTTGTCCGTATCCATATGTTTCGTCCGTGTCTGTCCTTTTCGTGAATCACTGCTTTAACCTTTTTAGTACCATTTGCTATTTTTGACTTCATTATTAACCTATTTATCAATTATTATTAGTAATTTATAAATCAAAATTAGGAAACCTCTACGGTTGCCACCACCAACCTCGTCACAGCCACCGTTGTGAGACCCACGAAGACCACCTGTGTGCTGAGATTGACGGTTAAAATAAATCACAGCCCTCAAAGCCGGGTAATCCAAAAACGATCACTGTTCATTGCAATTTGTTTAGTGGCACTTTCCCCATTCGTTGGTCAAAATGCCACTGCCACTGAGATTGCCACGCTGTTTCGTTCCCCTTTCATCGATTTGATCCTTTCCTACTGCTACCAATAAAATTCACACTTTTCAATTTCTTCCTAATAATTTGCTTCATAGTTCATATATTTTATTTCCCTCCTTTACGCTTCTCTCTCTTTCTCTCCCACCTTCGTCGAAACTCAAAATCGCTCACTCTTTGGCCTTAACGTTTGTTGTTGTTTCTTGAATACGGTTGATTCTGTTTTCATAACCATGCTTCGCTTTCACTGAAGATAGAACCTTTGTTTTTTTTAACCTTTGGTGGGTTTTCGTAATTGAATGCTCCGATAGTGCCTCTGAAACTGACCACAGCATTCATTGCTCTATCTATTCTCTTTTTTTCCTTTTCTCCTATTTGTCATAAATCATCATCAATTCTGGCTTATCCTTTTGCAAAAGTGGGGGGTTTCGAGATGATAATAATAATAAAGATGTATAATGAATTTGGTTACTTGGGCACGTGATACTTTTTACTTCCAGAAAATTTTCCTTGGAACCGTTGCGGATGGTTCATGATGGTTTGAAACTCTAAATTCACCTCACAAAATCAAGTTAGTGGCGATTTAACTGTTTTAGTAAGTGCTCATTTGGCGGCTCTTGGCGTGTAGTGGCCTTCACTTTTTGAAAGAGATTTTTCTATTGTGGTGGGTTAGTGGCATGTTTGGAGTGTGTAATAATGATGGTTTGGAATTAATCTCTTTGGATCTGGTGGAAGGTTTCTTCTTATCATCTTCGTTATTCTAGGTAATTTATTTCTCCTTCTTTGTTTGCTACGGTGTAATTGAAGTTGCTATGTTCGTTTACGTTCAAATCGTTTCCAATATAATACTAAATTCTTGTCTTCTCTTAGAACTGATCATGTGTTTGCCCCTTTTTCATGTAGTAAACTGGCTTTTGTTTTCTTTTTAAATTATTTCTTTTTCGTCTTTTGCTTGGATAGTTTAATTCTAGAGTATACTGAAAGATGAAAATCATTTTTTTTTTGTTGAAGTTCCTTTATTGCTTTTAAAACTTTTTGAGAAACGGTTGAATTAGTAGTGTCGTTTGGCAACTCGTGATCTTAAACAATAGGTTGAAGTTATGTGTTAGAAAAGGGTTCAGTAAGTGAAAATCTACAGAACATCTGGGTTTTCGAATTTGGCCTGTCCTTTGTGTGATGATTTTTGAGCAATTAGAATAAGATATATTTTAGGTGTAAATTTTTAACGGTATATTTTGAATACCATATGGAAATTCCAGTACTTGGAATTTAGATTTAGGCAATGAAGATACCATAGTTTTACTTTATTCGCCAAAGCATCCCAACATAAATCACCAAATCTTCTTTTTCACTTTGGCTTTTGTTTTTATGCTTACTTTCATGTTGGTGTTTTACTGTGTTGAGGGTGAATACTACCTTTCTCACTCTTTTGTGATAGGCTTCATAATTTCTGGCATATAGGTCAAATTTTTGCAGCCCAAAATTATTACTTTGTATGTTGAAAACCATAAACTGGAGTTTGATGTTTCCCATGCAGGAAAATTTTCTTTAAAACCACTATGCATGATTTTGTGCAAGAATTTCGTTAACTGGCTTAACGTTCTTTCCCTTGCTAATTTGTAGCTTAGGATACTCCCCTGAATGGGAACTGATTGCTGCGACGTAGTAGAGACATTACCAAATCCTCGGTCCTTTAAGGTACAGAAAATAGTTGAATTTATGTATGTTACAAGCCTTTTACTCAGTCAGTCATTAGGTCGTTATTTTTAAATTAATTGCCTTTGATTTGTTCCTTTCTTAAAAATCTGCTGACTCTATGGCCTGGCTTTTACTATTAGGATATGTGGGTGCTTGTTCAACTACACTTGCATGTTGGAACTAAGCATTTTTTTTTATTGTAATTCATCTTTAAAGGTACATCATACAATGTGCACAGAACTCAGGGAATTAGTTGATAGAATCTTGCGGATATTTCCACGCATAGAGGCAGCACGCCCTCCATCCTCATCAGGACAACAGGCTCTATGTTTGCTAATCAGTGCAATTGATAAAGCCAAACAACTCCTGCTACACTGCTCTGAATCTAGTAAACTCTACATGGTGTGTAGTTCTTTTTATTATTTCAAATAGACAAAATATCTAGTGTTTTGAAATCTGCATAAATAATATCTTAAACAAGTCATGGATGGGGTCACCATTTCTTATTTATTAAAGTTCAAAATTTTTTAAACAATTTTTCTTATATTGTACTATCATATCAGACTCGTGCAAAGATTTGGAAATAAGCTTATCATGTATAGAAAAATATGGAGTTACATATCATATCATCATTTATGATACTAGTAGCATGTTGCATGCTAATTCCGTTGGTTTTAATATCGTTTTCAGGCAATAACAGGGGAATCCATAGTCTCAAAATGCCAAAAGGCAAAACAATTGTTAGAGATAAGCTTAGTCCAGATTCAGAATATGGTTCCAGTTATGTTGGCTTCAGAGGTTAGTCAAGTGGCACCCCTATCCATTTTTATGTGTCTCATACACTCCTTCATATTACCAACTTACAGTTCCTAATGTCTACCTATGAATCAGGCACTTATCTTAGAACTCATCTAGTTCTTAAACATTAAAAACAATCCACACAATAGTGAAGAATTTGTTTTCTAATTGAATATTGTCGATGGCTGCATATTTCTGGATAGGATTTATTGTTCTGAAATATCTGATATTTTATTTTATTATTTTTGCTATATTTGATCTATTTGTTACAAAATATATTTATTTGGAGCTTCATTTCAATGGTTTAGTTGGCATTGCATTGTCTTGCAGATTTCTCGGCTAATTGATGATATTGAGTGTGTGACATTTGTCCTGGACTCTGCTGAAGAAGAAGCTGGGAGGGTAGCGAGAGAGTTGCTCCAGCCAGGTCCTTCAACCTCTGATAAAGATTCAATGGACAATTCTGAAATTAAAGCTTTTCAGTTCGTAGCTGCAAGACTTGGTATTACATCCCCGAAGGCCATCTTAATAGAGAAAAGATCTATCAGGAAATTGCTAGAAAATGTCAAACCAAATAACCAGACCAAAAAGACTATCTTGAATAATCTTTTGTATCTTCTGATAAAGCACAGAAAATCAATCAAAGGAGAACAAATGGAGGTCTATTCTCATAGCCAAGGACCAATTGCAACTAAGAACTCTGGTCATGAGTCTCAAAGCATCCTTCATGTCAAATCAGACCCATACTTGAAGCATGGTCAGTATAGAACTGATGCCAGTGAGTTGGGTAGTGTTACACCTCCTAAGGAATATACATGTCCAATATCTTTAAGGTTGATGTATGACCCTGTTGCAATTGCTTCAGGAGAAACATATGAAAGGATGTGGATACAAAAGTGGTTTAATGAGGGTAATACTATATGCCCAAAAACTAAAAAGAAACTGGATCATTTGGCAATGACTCCAAATGTTGTCATTAAGACCTTAATATCAAAGTGGTGTGAAAGTAATGGAGTCTCCATTCCTGACCCAATTAGGCAATCACATGATTTGCGTTCATGGGAAACCTCCTCCACTTCGATTAGGAGTTTTGGAAGTTCTATGAATGATTTGAACTTGCAAATGGATTTTAGTAACGTGTCACTTGGATCATTAGATACCAGTTATAATTCAGATTCCTCACATGCTAAGGACAATCATGGCTTAGATTTGATGTTGAACAAGACCAGTGACAATTCTCACGGGCATCAATCTCAAGCACAGATACATGACTCGAACTTGACGTGTTTGTCTAAACTCCATGAACATCAATGGGATTCTCAATGCCAAATCATTGAAGATATAAAAAGAGATTTCAAATGCAATTACCAATCTTTGTCCTCCGTGTCATCTGAGAATTTCATTGATTCACTCATGAGATTTCTGAGCACTGCATGTGAAATGCATGACATAAAAGCTCTGAGAGCTGGAACTAAGTTGCTGATGGAATTTATGAAGGGCTGCAGGTACAATTTCCTTTTTCCCTTGCAAATTTGGTTCTTGGTTCATTGCTAGTTATTTAGCTTTGCTTACATTTTTTTATTGAGTTGTTACAGAATATATTAAAATTTATTATATTGAAAGCAAGATTCACTTAGTTTTATAGTAACAAGGAAAGCTTGTTATGTTAATTTAAAAAAAAAAAATCTCATTCCAAGTGATTGGCAGATACATTTAAATTATAGTGGTGTCCAATTTTGAATGTTTACAGCTATAACACATTTGATGGATTTGCTTCCCGAAAGCAGGAGAAAAGAAGTTCCGTTCCAATTTAAGAATGCCATTTTACTTCATCAGTGCTCCTGTTTTGATATTGGAATGACTTCTTTGTGGTTTTTATGCACTGCAGAAATGGTATGACCAATTTAAGTGAAGATACATGCAGTATGTTGACAAGTCTTCTTGACACAGAAGTGATTGGAGAAGCTCTTACCATAATGGAAGAACTGTCTGGGAATTGGTATGAAAAGGCTAACATTGCAGCTTCCAGTGTACTCACTTCTGTTTCAAAGATCCTTGATTCTGGTAACGTAGAGTTCCAACAAAAAGCTATTAAAATAATGCATAATCTTTCATCCAATGGTGAAATTTGTCTCCACATGGTTTCTCTTGGGTGCATCCCAAAATTACTGCCATTTTTTGAAGACAGGACCCTTTTGAGAGACTGTATTTATATTTTGAAAAACCTTTGTGATACTGAAGAGGGTAGGGTTGCTGTTGCTGAAACGAAAGGATGCATATCTTCTGTTGTTGAAATACTTGGGACTGACAATGATGAGGAAAAAGAACCTGCACTGGCTGTTCTACTCTCGTTATGCTCTCAACGCGTGGAATACTGTGAGTTGGTTATGTATGAGGGGATTATCCCTTCTCTTGTCAACATCTCCAATAAAGGAAGTGATATCGCAAAGGCATATGCCCTTGAACTGCTCAGACTTTTGAGGGATTTAAACGACTTTGAGAATGAAGATTACTATGAGCCAAATCTCAATGCCTCTCAAGACTCTAACCGTCACTGTCAAAAAAAGAAATCATCACTTTTGAAGATACTATCACTCTTCTCAAAACCCAGTTCAATTGCATCAAAAAACAAGAGATGAAACTGAATTCCCGTGCATTTTGACCCGCTCATTCTGTATATATCCTCCAGCTCCTTTTTATGGGGACTACAAATTATGTTCTTCATAAGAGACATTTTGGATTGCTGGATGGCAGGTAGGACTTTTGGATAGTGTTTTTATCTTTGTTAGTGGGTATAGATTAGGCCTTTCTTGCTCTCGATACTAATCTCATATTGCAGCGTATATTGGCTCCAAGTGTTCATTACAATACTTTGCTTCATAATTTTGCTCAGTAACTGCAATTGTGAGATGTATAGTTCTGTTTTATGATGTATAGTTATTTTGACATGCCAAGTTAGGGATGGACTAGAAAGTTGAGAAGTTCTCTTCTTTCTCTTTTCCTCACAAGATGTTAGATGGATGTTTGCTTCCTGTGACTTGGTGATAATGGATTCTAGTTATAGAAACAGCCTTAGTGGGTAAGGCACTGGGCTGCCTTTCTATTTGTATTTGCTAATGTATATGTTAAACAATATATTGTGAGCACTGATTTTAAAATAGAATGGTTTTTATTGTTCACATATCACACTCGGTGTTTGTTTGTATTAGCTTATTTTATGTTGAAAAAGATTTAACTGAAAAGGACCTAGAGAATTCAAAATTCTCTCAGCAGTTGCTACAAACATTCTCATAATATTTGCAATTATTTTTTTTTTCTTTTAAAAGAATTGTAACCAACTAACCATGTTAGAATAGTAATCTCTTTTTATGCGTGAGTAATATATCTAGTATGCTCTGCCGATCCTATAGTTTCCTACTACGGAATCCATATGTTAAATGTGTTTTGATATCAAACTAGCTAGGTTGGGTGCTCTTTTGAATGTATAGTTGAGGAATCATAGCAACGCAATCTTTAGCATACACTTTGTCATTTTTAATAAAGTTCAACTAATAACTATCCATAAAGAGTATCTTTATCATACACTTTGTAATTTTTATATAATTTTGTCATTTGTGTACAGCTAAAGGCCGATAACGAAGATAAATTGAAATACCTCTTCTATGGTAGGAAAGTTTGGCATTGAATAATGATATATTTGAACAAATTACAGATGAATCTATGTTGTTAAATCAAGAATATGCCTTCTACTCTAATGACTATAATCCGGTGTTGTCAAAAGCGCGCGTTGGAGCGGTTAATCGCCCGATTCAACGCTTTTCCAACGTATTAACGAGTCGCACACTGCTGAGGCGCGGTGTCTAAGCTGGAGCAGAGCGCTGCGTTGGAGGGTTGGAGCGTAGGAGCAGAGCGCTCGAAAATGCGTAAAACCCGCATGCAAAACGAGTCAGGTCGCGGACTCGAAATTAAAAAGAAAAAAAAAATCCTATTTTTTATCTTTTTAAACAAATGGGTCGCATACATTGCATGCGTGTTGATTACCCTCTCCTCTCTCGATCTTCAACTCTTCCACAACATTCTCCTTCAAAAAGCTGTGTTCGTCATTGTCTTCGTGCCTCCAACTCTGCGTACGGGTTGCGTCTCCTCAGTTGTTGTGTTCTAATTCGTCCTTCTTTGTACCAAGCCTTGAGCACTTGGCTTCGCCTTCTTTTCCCTTCCCTGTTGCTGTGTTTGTGTGCTCTGTTTTTGGCGAAAATGGCAAGTGGTCACAGTGGTGCTGTTGGGAGCAGTAACAAGGTTAATAATTTAAGTAGGGATGACAGCAATGGGAAAATACTGAGAAATACTCCGAGAAATAGGGATTATGTGGGGGTGGAAACTGACATTTCAGATCATGAGGTATAAGAAAAAGTAATTGCAAATATTGTGAGGAAGCGTCAATAAAAAAATTTATAGGTTGAAGCACCATTTGGCTGGAACCCCAAAGGATGTTGAAGTCATCTCATCCGTTAGTGATGAAGTTCATAAGGAAATGTGGTTTGATAAAGAAGTCAAAAGGAATATTTAGGAAGAGCAAGTGTTAATGTTGATGATAACAAGTGAATAGAGAAAAAGAAAATTTTATCTAATGCTAGATAATTTTTAAAAGAAATTTTAATTCACAAAGAGACAATTGCGCGTGGTAAGAAGATTACAACCCTAGTTTATTCAAGTAGTAGTCTCATTTCTTTCCTGTATCACCTTACCAAAGGAATGAATTTGATTAGACTTGCCCCTTACATGTTTTGCTATATGTCACTTAACTTTGGGTTGTCTGAATAACAACAAAAGAACTTTGGTAAGAACGTTCGCATCTAAAGAATAATGGGAAAACGGTTGAAAATTATGAATAAGGACTTTTGGAAAAATATTGTGATATGTTTGAGGGGCGCTTATCCTTTGATCAAAGTGCTTCGATTAGTGGATTCAGACAAGAAGCTGGTTATGAGATTTATTTATGAAGAAATGGATTAGGCTAAAAAAAAAAGATACAAAGTGCTCAAGAAAAAGGTAAATTATTTTTTAGAAGTTTAATTTTAAAGTTATTTTTAAAAACTAAATTTTTTTTTTCACACTTTAGTTATAGGCTAATATAGAATGTTATTAATGAGAGATGAGACAACCAATTATATACTTTTGCATATTGCGAGCTATTTTTTTAATCATATTTTGCACTATAGTCCCAACTTAAATATGATATTGAAGTACAATCCAGACTTTATAATTGTTTAAAAAGAATGATTGAAGATATTAAAGAAATAAATAAGATTGATTTTTAACTTAATGATTTTAAAAGTAAATCAAAGTGTTTTGATAATTTTGTAGTTATTGCTAGACTTAAAACAAAATTCCAACCTGATGGTAGAAATCTTACTGCAATTAACATTTAGATCTACAATGATTTGTTATATATGTATTAAATTTGACATGTAGTTCCTAACGCAATTAGAGTACATTTAAAATGGTAAATATTTAATTTTATGTATTCTATTCTTAAAATTGTTTGGTACATTTATTAGGTGTTAATTGATTTGGTTTTTATTTAAGTCCACAGTAAAAAAAGAAACTATTTGAAGCAAAAAATAATGAATGATATTGTTTTTATGATGACCACCTCTAAATTGGATAAAAGAAAAAGCAAACTAAGAGAACACGAGTATGATGTAGAAAATATTTCCTCTAATAATTGGATTATGGAGAATATTCAAAATTCAGATTTGGATATAGATTTAGATCTTTCAATTGAAGAAGAAATGCTTTTAATAGAAAAAGATATTGATGAAGATGTTGGTTTGACATTTTTTTGATGATTCAAATATTTTTAATTTAGAATATATTAACATTAGCAAATGTAAAAATTTGATAAAAAAAATTGATAAAGATAAAAAATAACATAGAAAATGATTATTGTGATCAAAATTTGAATAATTTGTTATATATTTAGAATTGAAATGTTCAATTATTTGCTGCAATTTTATAATGTATTTCGTTTATTTTGATAAAAACTTGTGACTTTATAACTTTTGAGTTGTTAAAGACCGTATGAATCTTTTGTTGAATTTTAATTAAATGATTAGTGTGATTTAAGGGTTATTTTATACATATATATTATTTTTGTTATTTGTATAAATATGTATTTAAATATTTTTTATATTTTAGTTTATTCTTATAAGTCATGTTAAGATTCATCAATTTAGGACCTTCCTTACTCTTCAATCTTGATTTTCGATTTTTGACCACCTTGTTAACGAACGAGGCTAACTAAGAGGTAGGAATATAAATAAGTTGAGTCAAATATTTAAAGTTTGGCTTGAGTTTTATGAAAAAATATGTTATTCAAGCTTCACATGTTTATATATTTGAGTAAACTTTGTTTATTGATTTAGTATTTAACAAATATCTTTGTGTTAAAAGCATATAAAATTATAATAAAATATTATGTTGGTATTCATAAAGATAACTGATTTATTGATATGAAATGGTGAATTTTTATAAAAATATTTATAGTCATTTATTTTAAATATGATATTTGAAAAATAACAGTAGGTAAATAGTGTGTGTATACACAAATTATTTAAAAATTATTAATGTCGTAACGTTTTGAGTTGATTTATCTAAATAATCAAGCTTAATATCCTTATGATTGTGTATGTAAATAAATAAACTTAATTCAACATATAATTAGTTGTATTTAAATAATTTACGAATAACCTAATTCATTTACATCCTTGTAGGAGAGTTTAGGAAGAAAATTAACTTTTGTTGGAAGTTTTAGTATAATAAAACCAATCGAATAAGATGCCTCACGTTTATAACCAAAATAACAAATTCAAAACTATATGAGACTTATATTAATAGTAAATTTAGATGAATATGTTCTAACATATTATACTTAGTAACCATCACAACGAGTAACTAACGAATTTTTCCTAAAACTTTATTGCCAAAAATAAGCTCATTTTTTCACCACTAAGTTGGACTCAAACTTCGTTTTTTCATAACGACAACCAATAAACTCGAATATAAATTTGCAAGATATAATGTTCACAATTGCAGAAAAGAGACGAAATCCAAAATAAAAACTTGGCTCGAAGAACACAATACTAAAGGTGGTGGTTGGGTTACACGGAATTTATTTCATCATGAAGGCTTGGTTCTTTTGCATTCTTCTGCTCAGCATGGCAATATTCAATCATGGCTTACCAGGTGACAAAAGTGTATATATCAACCTCCGTGACGTAAGAGGACGTAAAGTTTCCAAGCATGAGAACAATCAATATGCTAAACCACCACCTTACAATCGTGGCTGCTCTCCAATACTAAGATGTCGCCGCGATGATGTCTAATTAGAAACAAAAGTTGTATGATACTGTCATCATTTTATCTTCAAAACTGTGCTGCAATGCTTATGACATGCTAATTACAACCTTATCCTTTTATCTCTTTTATGTAATATGAAGTTTGTGTAATGTTCGTAATAATTCTTTCTTATCATTTATCGTTACAATTTCCTTTCACTGTGTCCATTCAATTTTAGCCCCCTTTTTTTTAATTTGTCAAATCATACGCCATTCGATGTTGTTTTTTCTTTTTCCTTTACGTACTTGAAAAATGTATTTACCATCATGCAATAACAAATGAAACTGAAGTGCCATATATTTACAGACAACAAAGAGTGACCCATCTTTAAAATAACAGATACATACCATTTGGGTTAGCGCGTAGTTCAATCAGCTAGAGATTTTATTATTTATGTAACCAAAATTTCAAGAATCATTAAGCATATTAAACCAATTTGACTAAAATGCGTTTTTGGCCTTTAGGTACGTTGAGCTCGGTGCTTAATTTTGCTGCGAAGTACTACCATGAAGTACTTCTAGGATTTCACAAATTTGAAAGAGATCCACTTCATTAGTTTCTAAATAGGAGCTGCACTGTTTTTTCTTAAAAAGAAGATTCGAAGTCTAAAATCTGCGTGAAATGTGGTAAAAGACTCAAGTATAAAAAATTAATTTTTTTAATTTATCATTATTTAACGTTATTTCCACATGTGATGACACTTCTTTATTTGAGCTATACCTTTGTCAAAGAATTGAAGATTACCTATATTAAAAAAGATAATTATAGCCAGTAGGTAATTTGAAAAGCTTTTGATTCTTTAAAACGTAATAATTCGCAAAGAAACCAAGATCGGTGAAGTAGCATGATAACACTTATCATTAGGCATATATTGCATGTATCGATATTTTAGAATGCATAATTACATTGTTGAGAAGTGTAACATTTATCTTTTGGCACGAGATAAAAAAAAACGTGCAATAGTTATATCTTGGAAGCCTTCAGGCTTCAGCGTTCTCTCTTCCATAAATATCCGATCTGGTCACATTCTTAATTCTCCGGTAACATGAAATATAGAAATACATGACAATTCTTACCTATGTAATTGTCATTCATTATACCATCTTTTAGCTAATTCTGCCCTACATAACAGTTTAAATTAGTTTTAGGTAGATTGATTACATTTTATATTATGTTTCTTTGTCGCTATGATACTTGAATTTTATTTTTATTTACATGAATTGTATTATTTGAATTCCTTTCAAAGCATGTTTGGAATGGATTTACGATGGGATCTAGATTCTTTGTTATTATAGCAAAAGTTGAATGCTAAATTTTTTTTTTCTTAAACAAATTAAAATTCACTTAAATAAATCGTATAAAAATATAAAAAAATACATAAATACTTTTGCTTAAGCAAATAAAAAGTCACAAACAAAACCAGCTCCATCTCTCTCATTTTTCTCTCTTTCATTTCCTGGTTTGAACTTGAAGTTAGTACGTTAAATGTTATGTTTCAAGTTCTTGATTTGTAGACCCTTGCCTATAGATATTGGAAGGTGCACGTTTTATGGTGAAGGAAGCAACTCCGCAAGAACTATAAGGGGGCACTTTCTTCCGCCGCCTGTGGTAGGCCACGGCTAGTTGCCTATTCTGCCGTCCTTGACCTTCCTGTAATACATGTACAAGATGCTAAATCAAGATATGGCAGATGCAAGGTATAAAGAAAGAAGAAAAGGTCTCTGACAGGTCCAGTGGGGTTGCTTCCTTCACAATAACCAGGTAATGAAAAACGAAAAAATGAAAAATATCTCTTAATTAAGCGAATTTTTACTTATTCTTTTCATATTTTTATACAAATTAATAGGGGCAAATACAAATTCTGTATAAGATATAGGGAAAATATAAAACAAATGATGGGTGGAAATATTTAATTTAACCGTGAAACAAAATAAATATATCTTAGGGTAATGCACATTTGTAACTTAAGTTGTTGATATTTGAAAGGATGCAGTTCAATGGTGAATATTATATAAACATGTTAATCCCATTGTTCTATTGGTGTGTGAAAAAAATGTATGGACCAGAGAATTAACACATAAAATTATAAATAGTTAATATGCATTATGTAGATCTTCTTTAAGTCTAGAAAAATACATATACTTACATTGTACAAATATATTATTATGAATCTTTTAATCTTTAAAATAATATTTAATATGACAAATATTTACAGAATTAATACATAAATTAATAATATTTTTATTCTAATGTGTTGTGCAAAATCTTCTTCTTCTTATAATTAACACAGATTATTAATCAATTAGTTTAGAAAGATAAAAAGGTTGTAATTTAAAATTTCGAATAAGTCTCATTATAAGTATAAAAGAATACATACAGGTAAATTGTAAGAGTAAATATCGTAAGTTCTTTCAATGCTATGAATCTTTTAAAAAATGTTATTTGATATCACAATTTTTTTAAAATGGAATTACTGCTAAGTAAAATCAACGGAGACTAAAATAAATAGCTTGATTGTTTTCTAAATAAGTTATAGCATTTGTATTTAATAATTTAGATAGTAGCAACATAAATAAATTATAGTTTAAATTAAGTTTAATATCATAAGAATAAAAATATACACATGCATATGGCAGGCGTGGAAAATCTAATTTAAAGCATGTTTATTGTTTGGATATGATTATTTTGAGAAGGAAATTCTTTATAAGGAAAATATATTTTATAAAAAGAATTAATATATTTGAGAAAATAATTAAAGTCGTCATAAGAAAAATTTAAAAAATTTATGATTAAAATTATCCAACTATTTTGCAAATAACTGTATTTAAAAACAAAAAGTAATCATCTTAAATAAAATAAAATAGTAATAATTTTTAAAAAATAAATAAAATAATCCTCTTAAATTATTTTAATTTAACGTGTATAAATATTAAATTTTATGATTAATTATAAAGGCAACTTATTATTAAAAAATTTTCCCCCGATTAATTAAAGCTCAAAATTGTGGTTACTTGATACGCGAGACGAGCAACTTTGGTCGTCCCTTCACTCAGTCTTGAGCTTAAATTAAACTTTTGTTTTGTTTTTGTTGTTGGTTCTTCAGTTAAGTTCTTCTTCTCCATTTCATCTGCGTTTCCTCAACTCTCATCTCTGGTTTTGGCGGTGAAATAAAGAAAGGGGGAAAAGAGAGGGATAGGGTTTGAGATAGAGAAATGGCCGCAGAATCATCGGAGGGCGAAGAAGAAGGAAAGTTGAACGGAGGGAACAAATTGCTCATAGTGGATGACGACTTAACGGAAATGGGAAAGAAGGCCGCTTGGAGCGTCAGTTCCTGCAAACCCGGTAACGGCGTTTCCTCGCTCCGTGACGACAACATCTTAACCTATTGGCAGTGAGACCCTCACTCTCTCTCTCTCTCTCTCTTATTTATTCATTCGCATTCCCAACATACCACACTTTTACTTTCTTTCAGATCTGACGGAGCCCAACCCCATTTGGTTAACATTCAGTTTCAAAAGAAAGTTAGATTACAAGTACGCGCATCCTCCTCTTCAAATTTCAAATTAATTAATTATTTAATTAATATTATTTTAATCTTTCTTTTTTTTTCTGTTATCGCAGTTAATTGTGCTGTATGTGGATTTCAAGCTTGACGAGAGTTACACACCTAGCAAAATTTCCATTCGTGCCGGTGATGGCTTTCACAATTTGAAGGTAGTTTTGCTCCCTTGTGTTATTGGTTTTATTGAGATTGTGATTGGTGAATGAATTGGGTAAGTTTTTTAGGAGATTAAAACTGTGGAACTTGTGAAGCCTACTGGTTGGGTTTATCTCTCCTTGTCTGGTGTTGATCCTCGGTACGTGCTTCTGTCTTGTCTTTTTTTTTTTTTTTTCCCTACTATCTCAGAGGTTTTTATATTCACTCTCCTCTGCCTGTAGATGATCATATATTTTTTTAAAAGAAAGGAGAGAGAGAGAGAAAGAAAAGAAGAAGGGGACAACACGGCCTCATAGTTTAATGTAGGAAATCCAACGTTTAAGAGAGTCTTATAAAGCTAATTCTGTTATTTTGTTTCTTTTTTACAGTTAGTGCCTGTATAGTTTCAGGGCCTGTTTGTAAAGCTTATGAAATCAGTTCCAGTAAAATGAAAAATTTATTATTGCCATCCAACTTGCATGCAAAACCGTGCATCACTTTTTTTCACCGTTGATTTTTGTTTGAAAACCGATTTGGTTTGAGAAATCGTGAATCAATTCCAGTAAAGATCGAAAACGCATCACTGCCATCCAAACTTTCGATGATTTTTAAAGACTCTTGGAGTTTGAAGTGATGAAATCGGGATGGACTTTTTTTTCTCCCTTCTTGTTTGTAGAGTGTCTGGGCCAGTATTCTTGCCAAGTGATCTAAAGCAGTGACTGAATTGTTTTTTGCTGCGGAAGTTTTAGTATTTTACTGGTTTTTCTTTTAATTCACTCCCTATTTTCCTGGATTTGTGTTCAAGGCTGGGAAGCGAGGATGTGTTTCCCCATTTGTGAATTGAAAAATTGGATTGGATAAGCAGTGGTACTACTCGCTTATTTGTTTGTTAATATGCATGACTGTAATAAACAATTCTTGTTCATTTATTAAACCACTGGCTTTGATTCTTATTATGAAATTGAAAAATGTCAATGAAGCCATAGTGTTGGTAAATGAGACAATGTGATGACTCGTTGATTGCTTCTCCTTCATTCCAGATAGAAGCTTATAATTGCCTTTTACCAATTACAGAGAAACCTTTGTGAACACTTTCATGCTGCAAATTGCTGTATTGTCAAACCATCTCAATGGGAGGGATACTCATGTCCGGCAAATCAAAGTTTATGGTCCTCGACCGTGCGTCTCCTTATACTTCTTAAGCAATTTTCTAGATACAGTTATAAATATGTCAGTTGATATCTTTTATGTGAACCCCTTTTGCAGGAACCCTATTCCACATCAGCCATTTCAATTTACTTCAAGAGAGTTCATCACCTACTCTTCCATACGATGATAATTCATGGGAGGAATTAATCAAGCCAACCTAATGTTAAATCGAATGAGACTCTGCTTACTAAATGATTATATCATCTGGAAGGTCTGAAACCAAATGACTGGTCATTGAAATGTCAAAATATATTCACTTCAAAATTCATATAAAAAATTATCATCAGTAAATGTGGTTATCAGTATCCTTTGTTTCTTGCAAGTATCTATAGTTTGTTCAGATGTGCAAATGCTCATGAATATTTATTGAATCAGTCCATTGGAATAATGTGGTCACAAATTGATGGTAAATTTTAACAAATTAATATCTCATATTAATGTGCTTGTCTCTCGTCCATCTTGACCTCTTTCCATTGCTTAGATTAGTTTGTCCTATGTGTTGTCTCTTATTATGTTTTACTGTTATCCATAAACTAGGTTAAATATTTTTTAAATTTCATGCATAACGTACTCCTACTAGGCTACGAAAGAAAAATGTGTAAAGATTAGGTTCAAATAATAAAGTTGAATCATGTTGACCGTTAGGTTTTGGGTTTATGTTTCTTTTTTAACTTATACTGACTTTTTCTTGATAGGTTACTTGAAAGTATTGCTATACATTAACTGGGACTTGTGTTTTTCAAATTATAAAATAGGACAAAATTTTCTTAAACTTAATTCCAGGAGTCCATTTTGATAGGTATAGAAGTATGAGTCACTGAATAATTTAGACCAAATCATCCTCTTCAATAATATCGCTGTGTAAGTTGACCAGCATGCGACATTTTGGGTTGCATAAGATTAAGGTAACCGGTATCGGCTGTTTGTACCCAATAAATAAGTAGACCTGTTTAAATGAAAGACGTAAAATAATAGTAAACGTTAAAATAAAAATGAGTATGCTATAAAAATAAAATATATTGTTGAATTAGTAAGCACGTTGATTTATAGTTTACTATTTGGTTATGGTTGAGTAATATAATGAATGTTATAAAAAAAATTAGATAAAATTTTAAATTAATATAAATTATGTCTTGGCGTAAGAGTTAAATTCATTAATTTAATTAATTAAATCTTATTATTACATAACAATAATTAATTTATTTTTAACGTGTTCAATTTTATCTTAAATTTAGTACTTTACTTTGCATTGATTTGGATTTTCACGGGTTTTACTTTTAAATTTATTGACTCACTTGCTTCGATTGGTATTGAGTGTAGTAACAGATAAGGGATATGTTTATTAATTGTTTTGGTAAGTACAGTGTAGTCTTTATGATTATATATAAATAGAATAATGTTTTCCAATTGTGTTTTTAACATAATTAACATTTTTAACAAAAAAAAAATCAAATTAAAAAAATGAAGAGTTAAGAGATTAATTTATTAATTTAGCCTACAATAAACTAAATTAGAATTTTATTTTTTACTTTCATTTTCAAAAGCATATAGAGAAACAGAAAGAGAAGAGTACCCAACTTTCAACTTTGAAAAAGTACTAAAACGATTCCGTAATAACAACAACACAAATTAATTAATATAAATATAATATATATATATATATATATATATATATATATATATATATAAAACATGTAATAAAAGATAACCTAACTTATTTCTAATAAAATTTAAAATCAACTTTAACTTTAATAGGAAAAGTAATATTGCATAGACTAAGCAAATTTTTAACATATAAATAGATGATAAATTTTAAATAAATAATAATAATAAATAAATAAAACTTAAAGTAAATTACATTTTTTTCTTTAAAAGATGCATTTATTACAGTATTTTTATTTTATTTTAAAATTACATAACTCCTCTAAAAAATTAAAATAGATTACAATTTAATTTATTTTAAGTTTTTGTTAAATAATTATTTGACATTTTATTTTAATAAAATACTCTTTTTAAAAAATCACACTTTCTTTGTCAATATTTTAAAAAGCTCAATGAGAATGTAATTTTCATGAAACATTAATCACTTGTTATTGATATAAGTTTTAAAGGTTTGTCTTGACATTAAATATAAAAATAAAAATAAAAAATCTCATCTTGTATGAAAATATACAAGATATATATGACTTGTAGTTTTAACACATTTAAAGAAAGAGGTAAAATTTGAAAAAATTTAAAAAATTAGTGAATAGAATTGAAAATTAGATAATAGGCACAAAAAAATTAACAAAAATTAGACTATGGTTTCTTTTCTAACAATGCTTTAACAAAAAATTTAAAATTAAATAACTTACAATATATTTTAATTTTGTAGAGAAAAAGATTATACAGTTTTAAAATAAAAGAAAAAGTAGTGTAGTATGTAATCTTTTTAATGGAGGAAAATATAATTTAAAATAAAATAATCCCTTACGTATTATTTACTTGAAAAATATTCCTAAGAGTTTAAGAAATCAATGTATAAGCACTCGTATTTTTTAGACTATAAACTAATATATAGAAAAAAATAAGTTATAATATGCTAGAATATTAATGAGATTAAAATTTATCTGACTTTTATTTTCTCTAAAAATAAGTAATTTCATCATTTATTAAATTATTTTTATCAAAATTTGTTTAATGTAGTGTAGTGCCTTTTTGCCTTAAACCTTTACCTAAGAGAGTTTGTCTAAATTGTAGTGGAGGCATCATCATCTAAACTATTATATTGGTAAATATGCACTATAATAAATCATATCATTCAATTTTGATTTATAAATCTAATAAGAGTATATATTCATTTTGTAGCATTTTAGTAACATACTATCCTACAATATAAGAATGAAGCCTCTGAAATATTGAATAATATCTCAAAAAATTGACAAGTAACTTGTTCTTATTCATGTGACATAATCTATGAAAATTTCACAAATTTATGTAAAGTTACTTTCACTCTCTATTTTTATATTAGACATTAGTCTTATGCCCCTCAATGTATAACTTATCAACTTTTTTATTAGTGATTTTTTCAAAGATTAGTTAGATGAATTTCTAATCTAACATGATTTTAGGATATGACCCATCATTTAGCAGTTACTTTGCACAATTATGATGTATACATATATGTCTATATTTTCTATTATAAACATTGCTATTTGTTCTTGCTATTGCTACTTAGAAATAACAATGTACATATATGGAAGACATAGGTCACTTCCATAAAAGAATATTTGCTAAGATATTTCTTAATCAATCAACCTCTGATCTTGCTAAGTCAAGAGTAATAAACTCAACCTCCATAATAGATATTAAGCTGTATAAGTTTTGCTTGCATGACTTCTAAGCCACAACACCTTTGCCAAGGGTAAAAACAAATCCCTTTATGGACTTAGTTTCATTAGAATTAGATATCCAATTAACACCAAAATATTCTTTAAGAACAACAAGGTATCTCATGTAGCATAAACTAGGGTCTATAGTTCCACAAAGATATTTTAAAATACTACATAAATCAATTGAATGATCTTTATTTGGATTATGGGTATATCTACTCAACCTATTTATTGCATATGTAATTAAGGTCTTGAATAATTCATCAAATACATAAAGCTCCCAATTATTTGAGAATATTCAATTTGAGATACACTATTTTCATTATTCTTTTTCAAGTGTAAACTATCATCATAAGGAGTACTCACAAGTTGAGAATCATAGAACCCTTTTTTTTTTAATATTTTGTTATTAAAATGTTCTTGAGACATTTTATCCTCATTCTTTAAATTGGTTATTTAATTCCCAAAATTTAGTTTCACCTATGTCTTTCATATCAAATTTTGATGAATGTGTGGTACCATTAATCACGCCTATATTATTTTTCAATATAAGCATATCATCAACACATAGACCAACAATAACACCATTTAAAATATTATCAAATTTATTATAAATACACTTATTAGAATTATTTACTTGATAACCATTTAACAACATTATTTTATCAAACTTTCCATATTATAGCTTGGGTGCTTTCTTAAGACCCCTGTAGAAATTTAATTGACTTACAACTAACACTCTCACTACTAAAAATCACAAATTCTTCAGGTTGATTTATAAAGTTTTTTCTTTTAAATTCTCAGTTAAGAAAACAATATTTATATCTATATGATGTACTATTAAGTTGTGCATATATACAAGAGCTATAAATACTCTAATAAAAAAATTCTAAGTCATAGGAGAATATGTATTAAAATAGTTGAAGTTTTTCTTTTGTCTGTATCTCTTAGCCTAGTTTTATATTTTTCTATAGAACTATTAGGTTTCAACTTTGTTTTAAAGATCCATTTATATATTATTGGCTTCGATCCTGAAGGTAAAGCCAATTGTTTCCATGAATGATTATTCATAATTGATTATATTTTATTATTAATAACGTCATTCCAAATAGGGACATATAGAGAAGAAATAACTTCATTGTGCATTAAAGGATCTGCTTCCATTAACAAAGTGTAAAATCCATCTCTAAATCAGTTTCTTTTCTAGTTCTTTTACTCCTTTTATGTTTAAACTCATTAATTTCAAAACAAGTAATGGAAGATTTTAACAGAAATACAAGTTCAAAGAATTCAACATTTTTTTCATTCAATAATAATATTAGATTCTAAACTCTCATTTCTTAACACCAAATACCATAATCAATAAACATACAATCACAAGTTTTAGAGTCAATTTTTCTTAGGCTCTAAGTAATAAAACTTTAGCCAAATACCCCACACTAATATTTTAAATTAAGTAAATGATTTTTCCAAAGTTCAAAAAGAGTCTTGTTATTAACCAAAAAACAAAGTCTTGTTAGTTTTCTTAAATATAATCATGTTGATTATAACAAGTAGAAATAATGACTTTTCTCAACAAATTTAAAGGAAGCACAATATTTAACAACAAAACGTTCATAATTTTTTTAATATTATATCTTTTTCTTTCAACTATATCATTAGATTCTAGTGAATAAGGAGGTATTATCTCATGAATTATTCCATGTTGATCATAAAAGGAACTAAAAGTACTAGAATAATATTTTTTACCTCTTTAAGTTCTAATTCTTTTTCTTGTTCAATTTATTTTTTTGCTTTTGCTCTATATTTTTTTAATCTCTTTGGTTTCATCTTTAGTTCTTAATAAATACACATACGAGTATCTTAAAAAAATCATCTATAAAAGTTATATAAACCTTTAGTCATAGTTAATTTTAAGTCACCTAAATCAATGTATTAATTCTACAAATAAGTTTCATGAAATTTTATAGTTACTTTTGACTTTTACACATATTAAGCCTTTTCTTTAATTGCTTATAAATTCTCTCATTTTCTTTATACAAGAGAAGTTAACATTTC